GTACACATGAATTTAGGTACATAAAAAGAAATCATTAAACATAAGATTAATGAAAGAGAGAGAGAGGGAGGGATGAAGATTGATGGAGGGGGGAGGAGTTACGGGAGTGGTGAAAATGAATGGATGGGAATAAGTGCAGGAGAGAGGAAAGGAATAAAGAAATAAAACATAATTGTATTTTTAGTCCTCAGTAAAGTCTTGGTTAATGGTTAATTACAAAAGAGAGCCACCTATGCATGTCAGAACTCAGAAGAAGGGCCAATCAGAAAGGAGAACAAGAGGCAAAAAAGCAAACCAAGTCACAGTGTTTGGATGTGACTCTATGAAACAGTAAAGTTGTAACTTGTTCTTTTAAAGAGATAATTCTACAATATGTTCTTGTCAAACACCCGTAATGAGTTATATCGATACTAAATGTTGAATTAAATTCGAACGTGCAATCTTTCTAGTTCAAAGACGTTGATTGGGGAGCAACCAAAAGAATTTCAACAGGCTGTCCATCCTAACTACGTTTAAGTTGAGTGTGTTAACTCATGGCCACGCATTGGTTTTCTTCTTCCTTTACAATGTCCCAAATCAAGCAAACAAACAAACAAACCAATTAGGCATTATTCCTACGTCTGTGACTATTGCATTAGCGTACACATCATGTAACCTCGAGTACGTAGTTGGGTAATCAACATGGAGGGGGAAGTTGGTAATTTTGAGGGGTGAATTCGGCATTTTACATTCATTGGATCACGATTTGATAGTCTACTCGTTTTCATTTTTAATTCCCTTTTCGTTTTCATTCAAGAAATTTGTCAATAGAAATGAGAAAACGTATATACATTTTTTATTTTATTTTTTATTTTCAACTATGAAAACAGAAAGTGATACTTTCTGATATTTCCAGAAACAACAAAATGTGTTTTTCATAAGCTTTCAATATTATTTTTATTATGTTTTTTTAATGAAGGAAACACTATTTTTTAAATCTGTAAGATGAAATACTCGAAGATATTGATAAGAGTAGTTTCTTTTTGACTGCAGTGTATGCTGCGAACGATGAAGTGGAGCGCAAAGCAACTTATGCTGAGATTGCACGGGTCAGAGTTGATGGTTTTCCTTGGATTGTGGGAGGGGACTTCAATACAGTAAGAGGTCCAGGTGAAACATCAAATCTCTCTAGTGTAACTCAAAGTATGAATGATTTTAATGACTGGATAGAAGAGATGGAGTTGCTGGATTATCGAATGACAGGGCCACAGTTTACTTGGACCAATAGGCAGCTAAATAATCCTATTGCTAAGAAGCTAGATAGGGCCCTGGTCAATGTTAAATGGATAGAAACGTATAAGGACTGTGCAATGGAGGTTTTTCCTGCTGGTTTCACTCATCATTGTGGGGTTCAAGTATGTACTGCTGCTTCTGTTACTTCTTACCCAAAGCCCTTCAAGTATTTTGAGTTTTGGGCAGAGCACCCTTTGTTTTTAGATGTGGTAGAGGCTGCCTGGGCAATTGAGATTGAGGGAACCCCAATGCAGATAGTACAAGGCAAGTTGAAAGAGGTTAAAAAAGCTTTGAGGAAGTTCAATAAGGAGGTATATGGGGAGCTGCATAAGCAAATTGAGGAGGCTGCAGAAGATTTCAAGAATGCACAGGTGCTGGCTCTTTCTGATCCTACTTCTAAACATTTTGAGGATGTAAAGGTCAGTAAGCAGAAATTGGATCAGGTTCAGTTAGCATATAATAGCTTCTGTTGGCAGAAATCAAGAGTATCTTGGTTAACAGTAGGGGATATGAGTTCTGCCTTCTTTCATCAGGCAGTGAAAATCAGAAACTCTAAGAGAGCTATTAGGAAGTTGGTCACAGAGGATGGGGTTGAATTAACACAGTCAGACCAGATAATTGAGGAAGCTATATCCTATTACAAAAGGCTGTTGGGGACTGTTAATCAAGATATCAAACCTCAGAAGGAAGTGATTGATCAGTTGATACACAATAAGTTGTCAGAAGCAGATTGCATGTTCTTGAATCGACCTGTATTGCCTGCAGAAGTGAGAGAAGCTGTCTTTGCAATGAGTCCACAAAGGGCTCCTGGCCCAGATGGCTTTTCTGCTGGATTCTATAGAAGAACTTGGCATATTGTTGGCTCTGATGTAACGAGAGGAGTGCTGAGTTTCTTTCACACTGGTGCTATGCCAAGTGGAGTGAATTCTACTGCTGTCTCGCTGCTCCCTAAGGTACCTAATGCTGAAACTTTAAAAAACTTTAGGCCAATTTCTTGTGTGAACATTCTATATAAGATTGTAGCTAAAATTCTTGCTAAAAGGATTAGGGAAGTGTTACCTACAGTCATCAGTGGTACACAATCGGCCTTTATCAAAGGGAGAAATATAATGGATAACATCCTGTTAGCACAAGAGTTGGTTAGCGGGTATCATAGGAAGGATTTATCCTCTAGATGTGCCATTAAGGTGGATATTATGAAGGCATTTGACTCGGTTAATTGGTCATATCTCTTTCTTGTGATGAATTCTATGGGGTTCCCAAACCAGTTTATGAAATGGATTAAAGGCTGCCTTCAGACTGCTCATTATAGTATAAATGTGAATGGTAGCTTATGTGGTTTCTTTAGAGCTAGAAAGGGGGTTAAACAGGGTGATCCATTGTCACCCTATCTTTTCACTATAGCTATGGAAGGACTTTCGTCAATGCTAATGAAGGCAGGGCAGTCAGGGGCTATTCCCTTTCATCCATTATGTAGGAAGATTTCCTTGAATCATATTTGTTTTGCGGATGATATTTTAGTTTTCACAGTTGGGCCTGCTCAGGCAATATTGCAAGTCAAAACTATATTACAGCAGTTTTATCATATGTCTGGGTTGAATAGTAATCCAGCAAAGTGTGAGATTTATTTTGGTGGGGAGTCAGTAACCTATAAAAAGAATGCATTGAGTCTTTCTGGATTCCAGGAGGGAAAGCTCCCTGTTAGATATTTGAGTTTGCTTTTGATAACTGGCAAATTATCCTCGAAGGAGATTGATACTTTAGTGGATAAAATCACAAAGAGGATGAAATCCTGGAGGGCAAAGAAATTGACATATGCAGGAAGGCTTCAGTTACTCAATTCTGTGTTACTTGGTATTGTTAATTACTGGATGCAGCTATTTGTATTGCCTAAACTGGTTTTCAAGCGTATCCAGAAGGTCTGTTCGCAATTCCTCTGGCATGGAGTTACTGAAGGCAGGGCAAAAATAGCATGGAAGTCTATTGCTCTTCCTAAAAAAGAGGGAGGATTGGGAGTGAAGGACTTGGTAAGTTGGAATCAAGCTTGTTCTGTGCGATTGCTCTGGCTGTTTTTGCTTCGGTCAGGGACTCTGTGGGTTGCTTGGATGTATGCCTATAAATGTAAACAGGGGAGTTTGTGGACAATCAAGCTATCATACAGTAGTTCTTGGGCGTGGCGGCGATTGCTGAAGCTGAGAGGCTTGGTCCAGACTTGGTTACATCAGCGCAATGATGACATTTACTGGGGAGCTACGCTGATGAAGAAATATTCAGTTAGACTGGTTTGGGAAACTCTGCGTGCTCGAGAACCTGAAGTGCAGTGGTATAGATTGGTGTGGTGTAAGCCCTGTCCTTTAAGATACAGTTTCTTAACCTGGCTTATAACTAGAAACTCCATCACTACTCGAGATAAGCTATTGCAGTGGGGGAAGATTACTATTGCATCCTGTCCGCTATGTGGGGGGGCTACTGAGACGAGGGAGCATCTGTTTGTGCATTGCCCGTACACACAACAGGTTGCTTCTGCTATTCGATTCAATTTGTTTCAATTCAGTAATTGGGAAGACATGTTGAATGGGATGGTGAGTACAGTTAGTAGAGATTCAAAGTTGGGGCATTGGCATGCGATGCTTTGGTGTTTTCTGTTATCTTTTGTGTGGAAAGAACGATGTGCTGTGATCCATGGTTCAGCCTGCAAACCTTCTGCTAAGTTAGCTGAACTTCTACAAGAGGAGGTACGGTTCATAGTTGTTGGTCATCAGGAGTTGCAGGTGGAATTGGAGGGGTTGGGTTATATCTGAACTGTTAGTTAGCTGCTTTTCTTTCTGTTCTCATTTTCCTTACTGTAAGTAGATTTGCGTTTTGGGACTGGGTAGGGCGTGATTGATGAGATGGTAGTTTTGACTTTGGGATCCTTGAGGCCCTGTTTCGTTGTATCGGTTTCGTTTTGAGCAATAAAAGAGGCTGATTCAACGGAAAAAAAAGAAGATATTGATAAATTTTATTATATAATAATTTTTTTCTTTTACGTAACTTTTCTTTTTCTTAGATAGAATTTTTTTAAAAGATCATTTGAAACCTGATTAATCGAGAGTTTCAACTGAAAACGCATTTCATTTCAAAATGATTCCGCAAAAACTTATATAATTTATTTATAGAATATGTTATATTTGGTTTCAAAAGTTCACTAGAATTCTTTCTTGTATATAGTGAAACAAAATCTACTCAGTTTTTCTGTTTTATCCTTCTATGTATATTTTACTACTTTTCATTTGAGTATTTTTTTTATTTGGTAGATCATTCAGCTTATGTTTATTTTAATTTCAAACAATCTATCATAATTCATGTTTTTGTTTCAAAATCCACAAACAAATACAGCAAAACCATTTTTATTTCCAGTCGTTATTTAATTTTCTGACTTTATTTTCTTTCAAAATTAATCGTATATTGCCACAACTTCGACCAAAAAAAATCGTATATTGCCACAGCCCTAAGCCGGCCACAAGCACAGAAAAGGATTGCAAGTGAACCTTCCATCGAAACGGCAGCGCTTTTCGGAGTAGCCGCTGCAACTGCGAAGGTGGTGATTTCCATTGCCCACCAACTCAACATTAAAAGAACAGCATAGGAAAACAGTTCCCCGCCACCAGCTCAACCTTAATGAATCACCTACTTATCCCGCAAACAAAATATTAATCCATCCTTTATCCCTTCCGTTACTTCAGTCCCAAAAAAATGGAGCATAATAAAGAGATCGACGAGCGACATGGCACCAACAAACGCTATACAGAGCCGCAAGTAAGCACCTGGTTTAATGTCAAGAATCAAGATTAATGACAGTAGGCGCCGGGAGGAATCAATGATCGGTAGATTAGCATAAAATGCATATAAACCTCTCCCCCTGGCCTCTTCAAAGAAGGCAAGAGCAGCCATGGACGTTTTCTCAACTCCTGCTCATTTTCAACCTCTGAATTCACTCCTTAATGGCGACTCATCCAAACCCAAGCTCCGGAATGTCCGTTCTTCCATACCCAGTTCATTACCCGGGCCGTTACTTCACGCCGCACCATCAAAATCCAGGCTTTCCTCTTCTTCCCCTGTTTCAGTGGCATCGCCGCTCGAACCAGCAATTGACGTCGCCGCCGGCGAGGAGAAGTTCGACTGGTACTCGCAATGGTACCCGGTGATGCCGGTCTGCGATCTGGACAAGAGGGAACCACATGCGAAGCAGGTATTGGGGATGGATGTGGTGGTGTGGTGGGACAGGAACGAGAATGCATGGAAGGTGTTCGACGATATGTGTCCTCACCGCCTGGCTCCGCTGTCTGAAGGAAGGATCGATCCGTCGGGAAGGCTGCAATGCGCTTATCATGGCTGGTGTTTTGATGGCAATGGCAACTGCAAGCTCATCCCTCAATCGCCTCTCGACGGCCCTTCTGTAAGTAAATCGTTTCTCTTCATCATAATTTATGACCCAAATCGGAATCTCACTGTTGGGAGAAGAAAAAAAAAAAATTTGCAGGTGCACACCAACAAAAGGGCTTGTGTTGCTTCTTATCCAACCGTAGTGCATCATGACATGGTGTGGTTTTGGCCCAACTCTGATCCTCAATACAGAAACATCTTTGACAAGAAGAAGCCTCCATTCATTCCGGAGTTGGATGATCCTGCATTCACTAAGGTGATGGCAATCAGGGATATTCCTTATGGGTAAATGCTAAAATCTCCATTGCTGTGCATTTTGTTTGAGAGTTTCTTTGTCGAGGTTTTGAAATTTAAGAAATGGGTTTCTCTCTTTTGGGGGGCCATTGCTAGGTATGATATACTGATCGAGAACCTTATGGATCCTGCTCATCTTCCCTATGCACATTATGGACTGGCACTAACAAAGCCATTCAAGGGTAGGGTTTCTTAGATTGATTCCTTGCTTTCACTTTCTTTTTCTGTCTGTATGGAGTTTGAGCAAACTCAAGTTCGGAGTTTTCTCCAGAACAACGTGATAGAGAAGGGGGAATACCACTTGATTTCACATTGAAGAAGCTTGGTATCGAAGGATTCGATGCAGAACTAGAATTCGGCTACTGTAAATACCAGGCACCCTGCATCCTTTCTATCCACGCTGATGTAGATTCTGGAACCAAGATGGTAACTCAATTTTCATCTCATCATAACTGGCAGAAGCTCCCTTGGGATAACAATTACATGTTCTCTTGCTGCTATGCAGCCATCTAAAGGCAGGCGGAGGATGACACTGACATTCATGTGCGTTCCAGTGAGTCCTGGCAATAGCAGACTAATCTGGGCTTTCCCAAGAAACTTTGATATTTGGATTGACAAGGTTGTACCCAGATGGATGATCCACGTAGCAAACAACCTGGTTCTTGATTCCGATCTATACCTTCTTCATATCGAGGTGATTTTCTGTCCAACTCATGTGGATCGTGATCTACATTTGTTCAAAATCTGCTAATCTAGCAAATTCTTCAACACAGGAAAGGAAAATCAAGGAAATTGGCTCGAAGAACTGGCAGAGAGCATGTTTCTTGCCTTGCAAGTCAGATGCTCTGGTTGTTGGCTACAGAAGATGGTTCAACAAATACGCTGATGGTGAAGTTGATTGGAGGGGCAGATTCAGTGGTGATCTCCCTCCGACGCCTCCAAGAGAACAACTCATGGATCGGTACTGGACTCATGTCGTAAACTGTCGAAGTTGCAGTCGTGCATATAAGAGCCTGAATGCTATGGCGACGGTTCTCGAGGTCGTCGCCATTGGATTGATCGGCGTTGTTGCTGCTGCAACTAAGCAAGGGGCAGTTTCAGCAGCAGGAAGAACTAGACTGGCCATATTGGGTTCAGTTTGTTATGCGGTTTCAAGGTGGTTAGCCCATTTTGTTCAGAAATACTTTCGTTACCACGGCTACAATCATTCGGTTCCTGATAAAGCCATGGTCTTTGTTCAAATGTTCCGCCTAGGCGTTGCTCCGTAGCCTTTTGAGCACAAGGGCTGTAGGCTAGTTAGGCCCATGTTTCGGCCCGCGACATTAGGGCCCATCTATGTATTTTTTTTTTCCCAGCCCGAAATGGAAGGGGAATAAACCAGTTGTGTCCCAGTCTAGTCATATTACATACGGAACTGGCATAACAGTATAAATCTGTTTGACAATATGATCGTGACTTTTATCACGTTGTTTACCCAGGGCAAATTATGATTTCGGAACTAAATCAAATCTTGTTTCGCTTTAGTTACGATCCTAAACAAAGATTGATTTGATTGGAGCAGATCTTAAACTAAAAAACTAAAAATTGAAGTAGTTTACCTAAATTTTGACCTCTGTAGCAATTCATTGTTTTATAATGTCGCCTAATGTTTTAAACGTGTATCTTTTGTTTTGCTGAATCTTTATGGCTTGCTTTTACATATGCCTCATTCCTCCTCCCCTTTCTCTACACGTTGTGGTTTCCTTCATCTATTGCTTGCTTTGGACCGCTGTTTTGTCTCTTCTGGACTTCAATTTTACGTGTTTCTATATTCTGCGTAAATCTCTTCTTGACCAAAATGTGATCATGGCCTAAGATCTACACAATGACAATCACGCCCCATTTTGTGAGTATTGGTGTAAAATTAATTGAATTGATAAACTCGTGAATTGGATTAATTGAGTTTGTGGATTGGATTCGTAGATCCAAGTGACATAGAAAGTTTAGAATATTTGAAATTTTTGAAAAAGGTTAAATATTAAAATATCATTCTGAATAATTTAGGTACCAAAACATAAATTTTGAATTACATGTTTGTCAAAAAAAATCATCAAAATTTAGGTATGAATTTGTAGATACTAAATATATATAAATACCAAGGATGTTTTAGTATGTGAAGTCTGAAGAACGGAAGAGATTCAAATCTAGAACCTCTTTGTTTCTCTAAGTTCAAGATTAATGGTATTAATTAGACTAAATCATTGTTCACAAAGGGATCAAAGGAATTGGGTTCGTTTAGAAGTGCAAAATTCTTGCTCAAATAAATATTGAGATTGTCTATTTATTTATGAGTTATAGAAAATTTATTTACAATCACAATGTCGCATACATGACCACTACGAAATTGTCTGATCACTTATTAATTAATAAAATCTTAAAACAGTATCTCCAGTATTTTATCATGTACATAAATCATAATTAATTTTCTCTTATAATTAATCTTTACTTAACTTTCATTGATTTTCCCCCCTCCACATGGGTTTTGGATTCGGCTTCACATGCATGTAGATAGCAATTATTAGAGAAAGGGTTAGCGTCCATAATAATTGAGCTTAAAGAATTGTTCCGCGGATAACTCTTGTTAATTAGTTAGCAATTAATATATGTATCACCAAAATAAGCTGGCAGCCGTGGGGCTTGGTTAACCCATGTGGCTTTGTTGGGAAATGAAAGATTAGGGTGTATAATTGGATAAGGAGATTAGGGTGTATATATCTAATTGTAGTCCAATTAGAAAATGAACAAATAAATTATGGTAGAAACAAAATGGTTTATCAATAGCAACTAGATTCTGATACCATGTGAAATTCTTGTGTAACTAAGGATTGGAGGTAGAAGAAGGGGAGGGTGAGATGTAAATGTTAGGATATGATTTGAATTTGATTTGAGTTTGTTTTGTGTTCGGGCCTATTTTGATTGGGTTTGTGTTGAATTTTGTTTTGGCCTTTTCTTTGTAGGTTTGGGAAAAGTGTTTGGTTTTATGTTTGAGATTATGAGAAGAGTTCTATAAATACTCTTCATCACCATAGTCTGTAGTAAGGTCAGTCGGGTTAGTTTGTTTGGTTTGTCCGTTTCGGAATTTGGTTTGTAACATGTACTCTTCTCAAATTAGTGAAATTTGTTCTCCCCTGCCCGTGGATTAGCTAACACACATTGTGTTAGTGAACCACGTTAAATTTGTGTTCGTTCGTGTTGGTTTGGATTATCGATTGCACGCTTCTGTTCTGACAAGTGGTATCAGAGCCTTTGGTTGCGGTTTTGGGAATTTGGCGCTGGACTAAAGTTTTGTTTTGTGGAGGTAGCTTTCAATTCTTTAGCTTGGTTCGGTGGAGGAATCGCTTTGAAGGTGACTTTGGGTAGTTGCGATTTTGTCTCGTTTGTTTGGTGAGAAGTTTGGTTGGAGTTTGTTTGATAGTAAGAATGGCTGCTATCAGTATGAAGATTGAGAAGTTTACCGGAAGAAACAGTTTCAGTTTGTGGCAGATCAAGATGCAAGCACTGTTGAAACAACAAGGTTTGTGGGCTCCGCTGTCTGAAAAATCGAAGAAGGAAAATATAGATGAAGAAGAGTGGATTACTTTGGAGGAGAAAGCTCACTCTACAATCTTGCTTTGTTTGGCTGATGACATACTCATTGAGGTTGCTGCTGAGAAGACTGTTGCGGGCTTGTGGTTGCAGCTTGAAAGTCTATACATGACAAAGTCTTTAACCAACAAGTTGCATATGAATCAATGTTTGTTCAGTTTGCGTATGGAGGAAGGTACGCCTCTCATGAATCATCTAGATAAACTCAATGCTATCTTGTTAGATCTGCGGAACATTGATGTTAAAATAGATGATGAGAATGTTGCCTTAATTCTGTTAGTATCTTTGCCACGGTCGTATGAGAATTTTGTGGATTCTTTTATTGTTGGGAAAGATAGTTTGTCTTTGGAAGATGTCAGATCTGCTCTACATACTAGAGAGGTGCGACATAAGGTGTCTGGTTCAGATTCGGAAATTCAGGCATCTGGTTGGCTGCTACGAGTAGTAGGAGACAACAATATGGTAATAGAAAAACGAATACAAATTCGAATTCTGCTGGTTTGAAAGATGATATCTGTCATTACTGTAAGGAGAAAGGACATTGGAAATTTGATTGTCCTAAGCTAAAGAAATGTCAGGAGAAGAAGGGAGCATCTACTACTGTGGCGGAAGAAACTAACTCTGGTCCTGAAGATTGTTTAGCCTTAGCAGTGAATGAGCAGGTGCATGTCAGGATGTGTGGTATTTAGATATTGCAGCTGATTATCATATGTGTCCAAGCAGGGAGTGTTTTTCAACTTATTAACAGATAGATGGAGGACATGTTTCTATGGCCAATGGTGCTATCTTTAAGATTGTTAGAAGAGGCACCTTCAGGATGAGGACACATGGTGGTTTTGTTCGCACCTTGAACAATGTTAGGCATATTCCAAAAATGACTAAGTATCTGATATCTTTGAGTCTACTCGACGACAAAGGTTTCAGTTTCAAAGGTGAAAGTGGAGTGTTGTCTGTATACAAAGGTTCTAAGGTGATTCTGAAAGGTGTCAAGGTCGGTGCTTTGTATGGTCTACACGGTTCTATTTTGACATGTTTTTGTTGGTGATGAGTGCACCAAGCTGGTTCTGAATGACAAGTCTAAACATGGGTTGGACTTGCTGAATGGTTTGAGTTGTTGACCGCCCTTAGTGGCATTTAGAGGCAGAGGAGATTCTGGTACAACTGATTTGGAGGAGTTGGATACATCTGGCAACTTTGGTTGCGTCTGGTACATCTGGTATTTGACAGAGAATTCAAGTCAATGTGGAGATTGTTAGGATATGACTTGAATTTGATTTGTGTTTGTTTTGTGTATGGGCCTATTTTGTTTGGGTTTGTGTTATGGCTTTGTTTTGGCCTTTTCCTTGTAGGTTTGGGAAAGGTGTTTGGTTTTCTGTTTGAGATTAGGAGAAGGGTTCTATAAATACTCTTCATCACCCTAGTTTGTAGTAAGGTCAATCGGGTTAGTTTGTTTGGTTTGTCTGTTTCGGAATTTGGTTTGTAACCTGTACTCTCCTCAAATTAGTGAAATTTGTTATCCCCTGCCTGTGGATTATCTAGCACACATTGTGTTAGTGAACCACGTTAAATTTGTGTTTGTTCGTGTTGGTTTGGATTATCGATTGCACGCTTCTGTTCTGACAGTAAAACATGGATAAAATCGGAATCTATTGATCATGAGTGTCAGAAAATGACTCAATGCCTCTCGATCGAACTCAAGGGTCCTTATATGTAATGGTCAAGTGGCAAATCACCATGTTTGAATCTCGCCAAGATTGTCAACCCGCAGGTTGACTCGAACCCGGTGGAGTTAATGGGTCAAGGGTTAATGGGTCACCCGGTTTAACCCGAAAATATGGGAAGAGTCATTATATTATATTTATCCTAATAAATTATATAAAATCTCATCTAACATATGAGTTATAACATATAATATTACACCAAATAACATGTCGTACTTAGATCCAACATATAGTGAAAATTCACACACACTTATATAACATCAATATTCAAATGTTCAACTTAGGATTCCAAAGATCGAGTTAGGCGAAAAGAAAATCGGAAAATAGGCGCATTTCGCAAACCAAAGAAAAAAATGACACAATTTGACTTCCAACCCGGTACCTTGTAGCGGTCGACCCGGCAGGTGCCTGCAACTCGTTTTTCTCACAGGGTCAAGGTCAAAATGGATCGACCCGGGAGTCGACCAGCGAGTTAACAACCTTGAATTTCGCGAATCATTATTATAACAAACACGACGACGAACCATCCAAATCAAACTATAAGTCGTACAATGATATTTACAAAAGAAAGAAACCCTCAACTTCTAAACCATTGCACTACTTCAGTACCCTTTCTGTTCTTGATCACTCTTTCATATTCTGGAAATCCATCAGCTTTGTATCCAAGGAATCATTTGAAGTGGTGGAAGAAAGAACGACAGATCCATGGGAGGAGGAAAAAGTTTCTTTTTATTGTCCTTTTGTGATTGGTGCTTATTGATTTAATCCACCTCCACACAGCTTGAGAGGGAGGGTTTTTGTTTTTCCACATTGTTCTTGTCGGAAATCGGGACCGGTTAGCCTGACTACCCCTAAAGGGTAGTGATTTTCGACACCCATCATCTAAGCCGTCCATTGTAGATAGTCTTAATCTAAGATTAATTGCAAACAGTTGGTAATTATTGCTCTAATTCAATAATTAATTGCATAGAAAAAGAGAAAGAAGTAAAAGTGGCGACCCCACTCATATTTTAAAATTCATTCCCTCTTATCTTTTTCCCTTTCACCGTTTCAGTTCCCCTTCCCTTCTATACCTCTGCCTTCAGAACCCACAAGAAACTCTTCGCCGC